GTAGGTAAAGCACTGTAGTGGATACATAGTGATCAGTAATAGTGATACGATTTTTATTCACAAGTGGAAGTGCTGCTTTTAAATCCAAACTTGTCTGACTTCAGTATCTATATTCTTTAAACTTGACAGCACCAGCCATCAGTGAGACTGACAATATCATACATACAAAATAAAACAACTCACAAACATTTGATAACAGGATATTGAAGTATAAGACCACTTCATAGCATAAACTTTACGGGATTCTTCCATTTGGGTAGAGAAAGCAGCTGGAGCTCATCTTCGCTACTGGGAAAAGAGGTCCTTAATTGCTTGTGCTATTGTTATTATTTTGTCCAGCAAGCTTTCTCTCTCTTAGTGACAGACCCTGTCCTCTTGGCCTTGAGGGCTGGCAGATGACCCAGCCTGGGCAATCATAGCACCTCACTTTTACTGGACAGGGTGAATTGTCCATGTGATGCAAGTCAGAGACAGAGAGTAATGTGATAGCCTAGACCCCATACAATTACCTCTTGCTGGGTACCTCATTTCTCATAAAATGTGGTGGAGACCTCTATCTGTTATCCCCATTTTTCTAGTGATAGATCCTATCTCCCTGCCTATAGGAGTGGAAATATATGACCCATGTCTAGCCAGTAATATTGCCCACCTTCCTGGAAATTGATTGGCTTAGAGAAAGGCATGTGATACAAGCAGGGTAAATCAGAGGCATTCCCTGGGATTGATATATTGATCCTTCCATTTCTGCTTGATTTGTTAAGCTGAGAGGTTAACTGGGGATGTGTGCAGACCCTACCATGTGGAGAGAAGCTTCTTGAAGAATGAAGCCAAACAGAGAATTAGAGATGAGAGACAGGGAGTAAGTCCTGCTAGTGATGAGTCCTGGGTTTCGGTCCCTGAATCCCTTATTCTTGCAGCTCTTCCCTCTTTCCTGTGAGTTTTATCCCACCTTTACCTGCAGTTAGATGAGTCATTAAATTCCCTTCTTTGCTAAAGTTAGTATAATTTTAATTTCTGTTTTGTTTTGACATTGAAAAGATCTTGACTAAAAGGTCTGCTACTATAGCCACAGTTAATATCATCTCCTTTAACGGGTTTCCATAGTTCAAATAGTACCTTGTCAAAAGAAAGAAGAGACCACGATACACTGGGAAAGAAATAGATTTTTACGGTGAAGTCACTAGAAACACTGTATATGGATGTGGTGTTAGATTGCAGCGTCAACGCATAAAACAAAACCTATTTAGACTCTGCCATAAAAAGGATTGAAGTACTGATTGATATTACAATATGGATGAACCTTGAAAACATCTTGCTATGTGAAAAAAGCCAGACACAAAGGCCATATATTGTATATTCCACTTATATAAAATGTCCAGAATAGGTAAGTCTGTACAGATAGAAAGTAGATTAGTGATTTGCAGGGGTTGGGAGGCGGTGTCAAGTAACTGCAAATGGGTACCAGGCTTCTTTTTGGGGTGATGAAAATGTTCTGGAATTAGATAATAGTAACGGTTGCACAACTTTCTGAATATACTAAAACCCACTAAAGTGTACACTTATTTAAAGGGTGAATTTTACGGTATGTGAATTATATCTCAAAAAATCCATTTAGGCTAAATTACCCTTGAAAGTCCTTCTCAAAGGGTCTAAACAGTTAGTTTTACTTTCAACAAAAATAAATTGCCTTTTTAACTTCTATTTTTAGTTGAGAACCAGATAAAGTAGTATGTTTGTATTCAGTAGTACTATTACAAAAGAAATAAATCTTATAACTTGAGTCACACTCAATTATAGACATTCTCCCATTATAAAGGGTAAGGGATTAAGATTAGAAGCATTCAAAAGGGGATTATGTGTACCCCTGGGGATACAGAATAATTTCCAAGAGGTGCTCAAGCATAGGTAACTTTAAGGAAATGAATTTCCAGATCCTTAACTTGCACATGCCATCTTTTCTAGCTTACTCTGTGGCCAAGGCATCGTATCATTATGTCCCATCGTCCTGTCTTACTTCCTATTTCTTAATTTACATTAGAGAGGCATACGTCTCACCTGTCATAAATTCTTACCATGGTAAAAACCTCAGTGTGCCAAAAAATCGTACAATTTGAGACAATGATGTTAGGGAAAGCTCCTTTAATTAACACACCATAAAACCACGATAAGAGTAGTGCAGTTTTCACCAGGCACAGAGGCTCACTTCTGTAATCTCAGCACTTTGGGAGGATTGCTTGAGGCTAGGAGTTCAAGACCAGC